ACAAAACGATGATGTATGTGGTTCTCACCAGACGTGCTGTCTCTGCATCGCTCAAGTTTGAGGGGAACCAGCCTGGCTCAGAGCAAGGTAAGAACACCTGACAGGAAGAGCCTTTCTTGAAAGGAAGGGCAAATATTAAGAGTTTCGGGGCTCGACGCCTATAGCTCAACCGGCTAAGGCGCCAGCCACGTACACCTAAGGTGGCGGGTTCGAATCCCCAGCCCGGACCCGCCAAACAACAATGACGGCTGCAACCAAAAAATAGCCGGGCGGGCGTTGTGGCGGGCGCCTGTGGTCCCAGCTACTTGGGAGGCGGAGGCAGGAGACTCGCTTGAGCCCAGGAGTTGGAGGTTGCTGTGAGCTGTAATGCCACGGCACTCTGCCCAGGGGGACAGCTTGAGGCTCTGTCTCAAAAAAAAAAAAAAAAAGAGTTTCGGTCCAGTTCTCTCTAGGGCTAATATTCCCGAACATCTCATAGAAAGATATTTATGTTCTCCTCACTACCCCACCCCCAATATTCTTCTCCTCAAACGCTCTTCATGCCCTTGACACAGTGCAGACAGGTCACACACAGCCTGGGTTCACCCAGGACATCTGAGCTCTAAGTGCACAGAAACCCATGGCTGAGCATAAATCCTGCCTTGGGGAACTTTTGACGAGGTAGACTTAGGGTGCAGCTCCTAAAATAAGCCAAGTCTTCCCCTATACCCCAGGCCGGGCCCACAGGGAACCCTCAGAGATGCAGGCAAATGGCTTTCAGCCCTGCTGGGGACAGACAGCCATTACGTTCCCAGAGTGTTGAAAGCCTTCAAGGGGAAGGGAGAGGCACTGGTGACACTCAAAAACCTTCATGGCCCACAGCAAGCTCTCTGTGCCTCCCCCCCCAGAGCCAAAGAGAAGGCCTAGAAGCAGGGCTCACGAACTCCCAGAGCAAGCCTGGAAGACACACCACAAATAACCAAGCTGTCCCCCATGACAGCTCGAGTTCTGTCCCTCAAGGCAGTACTGGGATGTGGGTACCATTATTACCTCCATTTCACAGATGGGGAAATTGAGGCAAATAAAAATCAGTAAATTTCCCAAAGTCAACAGGTGTCCTGTTGATTTAAGCTCTTCTGCTCCCTGTTAAATTCTAAGATGTGGTTCTTGTCACATTACCGCATCTGATAATTTAACAAGAAGCAGAAGAGCTTAAATCAACAAGACGCCTGGGGGCAGAATGTGCCAAGCACTGACTTGCTGAGGGAGCAACCTGCATAGAGAAAAGCCCTGCCCTAGCCCTAACCATCCTAATCCCTCCTGACCTGCCATCTTGTTCTAAAACTGGCCCTTGGCTCCAAAATCGTCAAGGTCTTGGGCCCTGTGCAAGTGTGCAAGGCCATACTGACTCTGCCCTGCAGGCTTTGCTCCAGCCTGGATGCTTCCCCTCTCCCCACGCCCAGCTCAAGGCCCAGCCCTGCCCATCCACAGGCCTCCACTGCTGACTGCCTAGCAGACCATGTTACTGAGTGGCAGAGTGGAGGGTGGTCCCTACTGCTGTCATACTCCACAAAGGCCACTGTCCTTTCTCCTCCCAGCTTTCTTACAAGCATCTTCGCTGTGGCAATCAGATCTCCCTTCCGGCTTCCTCCCCTTTTTTCCTAAATCTCTTACTACAGTGTTGGACAATTCATGGAGAACTTCCTCCAAAAATGCTCTACACACCTCTCTTCAGTGTGATGATCCTGTGGGTAACCCCTCCTCCAACAGATCTGTATTTGCTCACTCATTCTCCAGCATCTAGTAGGTACCACTGCCCCTTGTCCCCCATGTCGCCTTCTGGGAGCCCCAGCAAATCCTACAGTGCCTAGAAAGATGACCTGGCTAGCGTCTGTCTCCCCAAATGTCATAGCCAAAGGCTGCTGGAGGGCAAGACCATGCCCATGCCCACCCCCACTGTGTACAGGCACACAGCCAGCACGCAGAAGATGGCTCTCAAAGGACCTACACCAGATAGTACCTTTACCAGAAAGGAGTAAAATGTGACACTTTTCCACTTTAAGATCACAAGAGTTTCTTTGGGAAAAGTCGCCTTTCATGGGGAAGAGGAACTTGCCAACTGCCAGGAGAGGCATGCAGCTAGCAGGGTGCACCTATGTCTCTCAGGTCCCAGCAGGGCCAGCTCACTGAGCCACAGCTCCTCCATTCAGCAAACACCCATCACAGAGAAGGAGGGGGAGGAGGGGGAGGACCATGGCACTGTGGAGTTGACTTAAGCTGAAGGGCAATCTCAGGGGCAGCAGTGTAAGCTGAATAGAACCTGCCTGAGCACTCTTGGGGCAAAAGGAGATGTTCTTGTCTACTGACATTACCACATCTTAGAATTTAACAGGGAGCAGAAGAGCTTAAATCAATGACTGAACCTGTTAGTGCTACTTGATTTAATATATGCTCACAACATATAATGGCAATGTGCATCTAAATTTTTTTTTTAATGAGCAGCTGCAGATGGCTGTACTAGCACTATATTTAGCCACTAAAATTTCCTAGCACTTTCTGCCACCAAGTAGGTAATTAAAACAACGCTGCCAAAGGACTGCGGGACAAGACTACAGACTGTGTGCTGATTACCTCCTCTCACAACAGGAGGACAGGGTCCCAGCCGGCCCTGTCCTGATGCCCTGCACCACTTGCACGTATCATTCCTTTAACCCTCAAGACAGTACTGGGATGCGGGTACCATTATTACCTCCATTTCACAGATGGGGAAATTGAAGCAAATAAAAATCAGTAAATTTCCCAAAGCCATATATGGACAGTAAGTGACGAGGCCAGCAGTGAAACCTGGCCCCCTGGCTCCACAGAAATGCCTTCCTCTGTCCTGGTTATTTCCCTCAGCCTGTCACTCACTTCCCAGTGCCCTCAGCCTATCTGCATGACCACTGAGCTCAAGGCAGGCACTGATTAATACCACCCAGCAACATCACTGCAGCTACAAAACAGACTCCCCACAACTCTAGGGTCTCCACCTGTAGTTTCAGGTCAGGGTTAAGCATGAGGACTGCACTTCTCGAGGCTGGCATCACGAGAACACGCAGGAAGGCATGCACTGCCACCCCCTCCACAGCTCCTTCAGGCCACAGACTTTCTGGTGACCAGCAAGTGGGGCCCGGCCTCCTGTGAACCTGTACCTGGAGGTGGAGGCAGATGGGCAGTCCTGAATCCCAGCACTGTCCCAGGGCACCTCCAACCGCGTCTTGTAACTGCTGATGCTGATATGGCTTCCCCTAGTTTCACCCCAACCCTCCCGGCACACCATGAGAGGCACCTGGCAGCATCCCCCCAGCCCCTGTGGAGTGGCCAGCAACACATCTAACTGTCCTTGCTGCTGTTGCTCTTGCTGCCTAAGTGGAATGTTTCCTGGGCTGATGCGCTCTCTAGCTCCTGGAATTTGAGCTGGACACACCCCAGGAGAGCTCCACCAGCCGAGAGGCAGCAGTGCAGACTGCTGACGTGCCCTGTGCTTTTCCATTTACTTCTGCTACTCCAGAAACCAGGTCCTAGAGGACAGGGACTCAGTCCCATTCCTTGCTGTACCCACAGAGGGCCTAGCATATAGCAGGTGCTCAATAAATACACACTTATAATGACGTATTCAGCTAAAAGTCAGTGATCACCTTTGTGCCCAATACAGAGGAAAGAAAAGTATTGATAGAATTTTGAACTCCTTGTCCATACTTTTTTTTTCAAATCTTGGGCACCTGTGATCATTTGTCTCTATCAGATGATATCTATTGAATAGTGTTTGATTTCAGCCAAAATTATACACAGACTTACTTTAGGTTGTCTATTAAACCTAATAATACTACTTCGTGCTAGCCCCTGTAAACACTAGGGCACCATTCTCCTCTTGTCCCACCACTGGGTCTCCTGTGTCAGGAAAGTCCCCACAAGGTGCCAATATCGATGTTTTGATCTGATCCTGGCAGCCTCCCCCGGAAGCTGAGAGGCTCAGACCAGTCGAGCACACATCGAGGTCATACAGCTAGTAATGGCACAGCTGGGCTCAGAGCCCAGATCTCTTCATCTGCAAAGCCTCTCTCCAAAAAGCCCCCAGCTGCCAGGAAAGCTACAGGGGTTTTGCCATGGGGACAAAATTTGAACAAAAATTGACTTTCCTTTAACTAGCGGGCAGGAAAAGTAAGTGGGGCTCAAGAAGAATGACCTCCAAAAAAACTCATAAAATGACCTAATCAGGAAGGGAGCTCCTCACGGGCAGGCAGATGCTCTCATAACCTTAAAGGCAACTTGTTCGGCCCTCTGGCCACTTGCCTGCGTTGTCCAGCACAATCTCACAGCACAGCCATGTGTGTTTCTGTACAAAACTTGAAAGAAAAATGCCTCGAAGGCTAAGTCCAATAATTAGCAAATATCATTCCCAGTCACACCACAGCTAAACACAAAAGGAAGATCTGAGAATGGACAAATCCCAAGACCTTTCATAAACACCCCTACCTCTTTAAGTGTCCAATTTTTCTATTTTCCAGCAGGGTAAGCTCTGTGGCTTCCCTGGCAGCTCAGGCATACTCAGACAGGCTAAAGACAAGCATCCATGTCTTTTCTGACTGCAAATACCTAGCGGGTTTTCAAGAATGGTTGTTTTAGGCAGTGCCTGTGGCCCAGTGGGTAGGGTGCCTGCCCCATATACTGAGGGTGGCAGGTTCAAACCCGGCCCCGGCCAAACTATAACAAAAAATAGCTGGGCATTCTGGTAGGTGCCTATAGTCCCAGCTACTCAGGAGGCTGAGGCAAGAGAATTGCCTAAGCCCAAGAGCTGGAGGTTGCTGTGAGCTGTGACACCATAGCACTCTACTGAGGGCGATAAAATGAAACTGTCTCTTAAAAAAAAAAAAAAAAGAATGTTTGTTTCACTCTCCCATCCCCACCAAAATAATCAAAAGGCCTGCCAGACACCATCAGCCTGATCATTGCATTCAGCCAGAGGAAAGCATGAGCATTACCTCCCAGAAGCTATCACTGGACACTTCTACTCCAACGGAATCATCATAAGTGACAGACATTTCTTCAAAGGGTGAGGGGGCAGCAGGGAATGCTTAGATTCAGAGAGTCAACTCCGGATGCTCAGAATCTGCAGACGAACCTGTAAAAGAAAAGCACACATCACTGTGGTTTTTAAATTCCCAAGGTAACAAAGCAAGTCATCTCTATTTTGCAATTTCCCATTTCCATCACGGCCTTTGGTAGTCTAAAACATTTCCTTTAAGTGAAAGAAAGTCCATAAACTCTAACCCACTCTGGGCACTGGCATATGTGCATACGTATGTGTGTGTGCATGTGTACATACCACGTTAACAAGTAAACCTTGGCTCGGCGCCTGTGGCTCAAGCGGCTAAGGCGCCAGCCACATACACCTAAGGTGGCGGGTTCGAAT